CATCAAACAAGAGAAGTAATCGTTCACCTGCTCAAAAGTTACATCAGAACAGAGCTGAGAAAGACCTTCAGAATTATTTCTTCACACCCCCCTGGTTTTACAGTTGAGAGACCAAAGCCTGGACAGGTGACCAGTAATGTCCTTGGCCTCTTTGCCCGGGGCCCTGACCCACTGAGCTCACAGATGGTACAGGACCAAGCAAGAAAACTGGAGCCATCTGGCCATGGTCAGCGTTCTTTCTGCCTAGTTACATCCATGCAGTGATTCCCTTAAAAGTGATGATGGGGGTACCTGCAGTCAGTTAAGTACTTACCTTTGGCTCAGGTTGTGATTCTGTGGTCCTAAGATAGAGCCCCTGGTCAGGCAGCCTGATTCTCTCTCTCCTTCTGCTGCACACCCCCTCATGCTCCCCACCCCTCTCAAATAAGTAAAATCTTAAAAAAAAAAAATAGTGATGATGCATAAGGCATAAGTTTGGCAAAGAGCACCAAGTTTCCAATCCTTTAACTACCAACACAGGCATTTGGGTCACTTACAGATGAAAAACATTTCCATCCTGTTCTTAAAGATTCTCCATAATATAATTCTATTTTTTAAATCCCCCCCCCGTATAGATTAGGCTCAACTCTCATAAATAAAAAAATGCTTCAAGCATATTTACTGATTGAATGACACTACTTATCCATTTGGGGGGTAACTACTAACAATCTTAACACTTTTATAAGCAGAAAGTCCTGCTTCATGTCTAACTTCACGGATTTTTTTTTTTTTTCCCAGCTCAGCATAGAGTGGTGAGTGCTTAGCCATGCCAGATGGACAAGTCATGAATAGGTCACACTTGGCTAGAAACATGTAAGCTCTAACTAGCAGACTTTGTCCAATGTCCAGAGTTCAAGGTTTCAGACATGGCAACACAAGTCATCTGAGACTTGAAGTGAGCAGTGCTCACCTGATTTGAGAAATTCTGGATAGCAAACTGTTGGGCACCGCTGGAATGCGTCAGGGAATTAGTTGCCATAGGAACATTCAAAATGATCTTCCTGAAGTTCCAGCAACCAGGAAACACATACATCAGGAAGGTGGGTAGTGTAGGTTCCCGTGGGTATTACATCTCATTTTTAATGACATCATATGAGCCCAAGCCCCATTTCTCTCTATAATTAGAGCTAATAAATATCTTCAACTGGATTGCATGGCAGACTTTGGAAATATTAATCTGCTGTGACTAGAGTTATATTGCTCTGAATTTGAATATGGAGAAGGCAGCCAAAGCCTTGCGCATCTCAAAACGCATATGTAGCAAAAACTAGTCCCGTGGGCTTGCTGTCTGATGTCTGGCCGACAACATGAGAGTGGCTGACTTGCTTTGATGTTTTAAACCGCTTCCATTTTATCACTTGGGAAGTTTTTCAATTATTCCAACCCTGCCATGGAAGAAAGAACGTGCGATTTGGAGTCAAAAGTATTGGATTGAAATGCCAAGCCTGACACTTAATGACTGTGGCCTATTAGATTACTTTCTAAAAATAGTCACTCCTTTGCTTCCCACCACCTCCCTGGGAGAATTGTATTTCCCTGTCTCCTTGACATTGAGCTCAGCCACGTGACTTGTTTTGGCCAACAGTAAACTGGCAGACATGGCTCTTGCACCTCTGTCCTGGCTAGTCTCCTGGTCTGAGGAAGAAGGGTGGCATGGGACCAGATCCAGACCCAGCCTGCTGTTCACAGCAACCAACTCAGCCACGATCTACCAACCCCAGAGGACCCCTAGACACCTAAGAAACGTTATCAGACTACTATTTTAAGTTTTGGGTAGTTTGAAATACAACACCTGATTGACACATTGATAAAGACTTTGTTTCCTTTAACACAGGGATAATGATATCAACATCACAATGTAATCTAAATGACATCCTGCTGTTATCACTTTACCTGCTTAAGAACAGGTAAGTGCCCCACTCTTGCCTTGGCTTCCCCAACATTGCATGTGGTGCCAAATTATCTAAACTGGGACTACAGGACTGCCTTCCCAGAATTTCTGGTATGGTCCTAAGTTAGCAGTGACCACAAGAAAAAGACTTGTAAAGCAGCAGACATATTTTTTATGCTCTAAAGGTTGGAGCGGGAACCAGGAACAGTGGGTGCTCACACACATTGTTGTTGATCTACTAGCTTGCCTTGTTCTAGGCTGACTAACTATGCAATTCCACAAGGAAGGACACCAGCTTCCCCTGAAGTCACCCACAGCATCAAGGTTGGAGGTGGTGAAAGACAGAGGTGGGTTCCAGGTTGCATTTTCTCTTGTTCATATCAAGCTTTCTCTTCCAACTACCGGGTTAGCTGATTTACAGCTACTTTAGGCTCAATCCCGAGGTAACAGCCCTGCTTGGATGCCTCCAGTTCTCACAACTGGGTAGTCTAATCCTTTAACACATCCCTCATTCTCTATCACTAATGGTTCTTTGGTGTCTCTGGACAGACCCCTATACATCATGACTGAATCTGTTGTCTTAACGTGTAAATTCAGGCAACTTCCCCAGACCCATAGTTGCAAGTCACTTCCAACAGAGCAAGAAATATATGAGATTAAGTATTTCTTGAGCCCTTACTATGTGCACTTTAACTAATGTATTATTTCATTTCATCTCATTAAGTGGTCCACATTCCTTGTCCAGGCTGGTTCACTCTTGCCATTATCACCACTTGGTAGTTCAGAGATACCTGCCAGTACAGTAATACTCCAAGTTCTTCCATTTGGGATTGCAGACTGGGACCCAGTGCCCTCTGGGTAACCCTGGATGGCGAGTGCTGTTCCTACAGAAAGAGCCTGGAACATAGGTGTGGGTTTGGGTTAAGGGTTTGTTTCCCTCTCTTCTCCACCCTCAATCTTGGCATCAATTTTTGTCCAAAGGTTCACATTTGCCCCTATCCAGGAACTCAGTTCCCCTCTAAGAATGAAGTCAGCCGCCAAATCTTTGCTTAGTGACTAAACTCTGCTACCATGATCAGGTCTGAAATAGGAACTACTTGCCTCAGTCCCAAGTGCTAACCCACAGAAGTGGCTTCTGTGACCCTGTGCCACTTACTGGGATGCTTGATCCCTTACTAGACATTTACCTCTATTTGGGAGCCACTTTGAATCGAACACGTTCCTTCATCGAATGCCCCTCACGTGACTTCCTTAGATACACCTCCCACATTTTAAGCATTTTGTGAGCTGGTGGCGGGGTGAGAGTATTTTTAACTATTTCTTATTCATATATCTTTTGTTTTAAACCCTTAACGAGGAATCATTTGTAAAATGGCTTCCCAGTCAAATATGTAATCATGAGCAATTGGCTTTGTAGGAAGTAGGGAATGGCAGGCAACGTCAAATGGAGTTAGAGTAATCCTAATTACTTATATCTGCAGAAGCTGTCACTTTTGGAAGGTGTATAATTAGCAGCCAGAGTGTGTGCTGGGAAACGCATGATTGCTTAAACAGGGCGCAGCCCAGGGACTGCCCAGGGTGGGACTCTCCCACTGTGCTCATTGGCCCAGCCTGGGCTCTCCGGTCACTTGCTGAGGCTGACTGCGCACTTGAATACGAGGTGTGGTCAACCGAGCCCAAAGTCCTTTTCCACAGGCAAAGCAGGTATGACCATTTAAAAAAAATTGGATTCTCTATACTCTGATTATGAATTTTCTGTTTTTCTTGTCCAGTGGTTCTCAGCTTTGGCTGCATATTAGAATCAACACTGAGACTCTAAAAATCCTGGTGACAAAGTTGCATCCAGACCCGTCAAGTCTGTTTCTCTAAGGCATCACTCTTTAAGTTCCTCTGATGATTCCAATGTGCTGGAAGTTTGAATACCAGTCCTCGACCAATGGTTCTCAAATGTTAGCTGCGTCGGAATCACTTGCAGTGCTTGTTAAAACCCACCCCCGATTCAGTAAGGGTGTCCAATAATTTGCACTTCACATATTCAGTCTAAGAATGCTGTCAATGTTCAAAACCATGTTGAATTCCTTTTGGATTAGCAGAGTTAACCTTTATTTTGCACATATGACAGTCATTGTGCTAAATGTCTTAGTTTTTTAGCTCACTTAATCTTACTGTCACAAGACTTCTTACCCTTCAGATCTTGGAAAAAGTATGGGACCTGAAACACCTTCTGCCTGCCCTTTATCAATGCGCCTGCCACAGCTCCCATCACCTAGTGTTTCCTTCTGGGCCCTAACAGCAGCATGTTAATCTTACTTCCTCTCTTCCACTTGCATGCAGAGACCCTACCCAGTGGGGACTCCATAAGCACTTCCTTAATGAATGAATCCAGAGTAATCATAGGAGAGATATTACAATGATCTGCATTTCACATAAAAGTACAGAGAGATACAAAAAGATTCAGTAACTTGTCCAAGATCATAGTGGAGGAACTGAGGTTCAGACTGTGTTCTGACCATAGCTGGGCTCTCAAACTGCTGCAAGAATGGATCCTCAGCCTTAAGTAGAATAGCAGCCTTCTTTTCCAGCAAAAACTGAATTCCTCATCTAAGAATGTCAACTCTTGTCACTTGACTCAGATTTTTCCCAGGGGGGAAAAAAATTCAGAATCAAAACCCATGTGGCCAAACTGTAGAATCAGTGGCAATTTCTTTACCATTTCAAAACTCACCTGTTCATACCAGAAACTTCCTTACAATTTTCCAAAACAGGTTAAAAAGACTTCTACCTCATACAAAATCACAACAAAATTTTTTGCACTCTTTTTTTAAAGATTTTATTTATTTATTTGACAGAGAGAGAGAGATCACAAGTAGGCAGAGAGGCAGGCAGAGAGAGAGGAGGAAGCAGGCTCCTCACCCAGCAGAGAGCCCACGCAGGGCTAGATCCCAGGACCCCAAGATCATGACCTGAGCCGAAGGCAGAGGCTTAACCCACTGAGCCACCCAGGCGCCCCCCAAAATTTTTAATATAAGATGTTGGTATTTAGGGGAAGAAAACCACATGAAAACAAACGGATTTGAATTATGACTTTATTTAGTATGTCAATAATTTATTCTGGTAATAAATTAGTTTGTACAGCAATCAAAAGTGTTGCGTGCTTCCCAGGAAAACTGCTTCCAAATGTGCACACTAAAATATACGCAGAATCCTTTAAATAGCTGACTTTATTTGCAAACTCAGAAGTGTGGTGACATCAAGTTATAAAGAAGTACTGTCTTTCTCTAGTAGTTCATGATTTAGTTTTGAGTCTATAAAGGTTTCAATTATCATTTCAGCTCCTGCAAGTTATAATACCGACAGTTTAAAAAGCACCTGATCTAGTCTCCTAATTGGAGAGATGATGAATCCACTGGCCTTGGCAAAGACTACAAAGCTAGCAAGAGACAGAGCATGGATTACAGATCAGTTCTCAGAGGTGGTCTGAAATGTCTGGTAAGGTGCACAAGGCACAGAATATCACACAGAACTCTAGTCGTGTCTGAAAGACCTTGGTTTTACTTTCTGCTTAACAGAAAAGTTCTTTTGTAGTTAGCAAATTTAGTAACTCAGTTGCTTTAGAAACGAACTCACTCCCATCACTGCAGGATTACCACTGGTCACTGATTGCCAGTGCAGTTTAATTCACTCCTACTGGAATGTTTGGAGTGGGGCAACTTTTATTCCTTTGACATTCACATCAAGGGTGCCCGTTGGTTTTAAATTCATCATCAGCCAAAGGAGCTGGTATTACCGGTATCTATAAAACCAACAAAATTGAGCATGGAACAGTTCTTTGCTCTTTGAAGTTCACTCCCACGAGGTAACATATACCATGCTCTCTTCGTCTGAGCTGCCACTGGCTCTAATCCACGGGTGGATTCTGGGACATCAGTGTCCCCAAATAGCCATGACACTTCTCATGCCATGAAGAATGTCATATAATAATACATAATGTACCCCGTCCTTCTGACATACAATTTTTGGTGAAGTATTAGGTCTTAGACTAATGCAGCCCATTTATCAACCAGTAGTACAACGGTCAGAATGGTCACATTCTGGCAAGCTGTTTTTTTTTTAATTGCAGGAGCTGTTCCCAAAACAACCTACCAAGCATCAGTGAGGTTGTTTTTTTTGTTTTTTTTTTTAATTTTAGAAACACACTGCAAAGTTGTGTATATGAAAGACATCTTTGGATTTTCATGTGATTCTAATTTCTTGCTATTATCCACAGCAAAGGAGGACTGATAGCCTGCCTTTATAAATCTGTTTTTTTCCAGGGCAACATCTCTCTGTAAGAGTGGATGTCTGGTTCAGTTACAGCCTATAAACACTGGTTAGATGTGTCCCTAGGGACACATTTATTTAGAACAGGCATCTCATCTTCAGGTTCGTCCTCCGCAAGAGCTGTTGTAGCAGCTCTACGTTTCAGGGCTAGTGACCCGATGCCGAGGGGACGCCGAAAGCGCTGCTGCCAGCCGCGAAGCCTTGACAGGGGGCCCTCTCTCGCGCCATGTCATTAGCCTTAGCTAAACACAGTGCGACAGACAAGACCCAGATCACACAAATATGGTCTGCTCGGATCTGGCAAAGCCACTGAAGCATTCAATTTACTAAGTTGGCAAATTTTTCTTTTTGTTCTGCTTCCAACTTCAGTTCCTTTGGCTGCTTTTCTTGTTATCTTGTCCCAATTTTCAAGGCACATGTAGAATATGGATAAGGAAACTTCCAATTCCTTGACCATTTCACTTTTTGACCTTACTTTCTATCTTCGGGCTCTGGAAAAATTATGAGCTTGGTACACTTTCTCTATAATACCGTGACCAGAACTGAATGCAGGAAGTACAATGGAAATGGTATGCTATGCAGAACAGGAACTGAGTTCTTATGAATGCAAGACTGAGCAGACTGGCTTGGTGTGGGACCTGAAAACACAGTGGGACAAAGCAACAAATTTGCTTAAGTTTAGAATGGCAAAGAGGATGTCCAATTTCAAAGAAAGGGCTAATTCCAATAATCTTAATAACTAAGCCAAAAATATAATCCCCCCTTTTATTAAGGAATCATAATGACTTTGAGGTAGATGATGCTGTTATCGGATAAGGAAGAAATCAGGTGTAAGACACAAAAATGATACTGAGAGAAAGAAAGCACTGATTTGAAAAGATCTTCCTTTAAACTCACATGGAAAATGGAGAACATTTCCAATTCAAAGTTCTAAGCACAAAATCCAGGCATGTCACGTCATGGACTTGCTTCTTTAATTGGAGATGAACTCAGCAGCAATGGTAAGGAACCACATGCTAATGGCACAGCCAACTATGGAAGGGTTGTTCCCGTGAAGGAAGCCGGTGACTTTGCATTTGATTTTTCCAGCTTGGCTCATTCCCAAATGTTCAGGATGTAGATTCCTAAAGTCCTCTTTAGCATTTAACTAATTCCTTGTGGGTGGAAGGGGGTGACACTGTTTCTCCACGCATAAATTGATCCTAAGACAGAGTAAGAAATTATATTAATCACTGAGTGTATCACAAATGTATCAATATTTGACTTTAGTTTTGTTGCAGAATCAATCTAGGTATTAAGGTTTAAAAAAATTTTTTTTAATTTCAAGGTTTATTTAGTTTTCAGTCATCTCTACACCTAACATAGGGCTAGAACTCACAAGCTCGAGAGCAAGAGTTGCATGCTCTTCCAACTGAGCCAGCTATGGGCCCGGCAGGTCTGTTCATTTTTCATTGCTACACCACTTTGTCCTTATTCAAAGAATCCACGTCAGCACCAGAATTATAATCTTAAAAGTGCTTTTCAGTTTTTAGCCCTGAATTCACACTTAAAACGCCTTATTTGTAAAGATATATCACATCTTAAGTTTCTGTATTAATTACTACACTAAAACTTCTCCACTTCACTATTCAGTCATTTGAAGACCTATCCTCTTCAAGGTACTCACTTCTTCCAACTAAAAGGGGTAGCTCTTTGTTTCCTGACCAAATAACCTGCAGGGTCATCTACGTTGTAAATGAAGTTCAGTCTCTGATTATGTATCCTGGCTTCTGTCTACTACAAGACACCTGTGCTTTCCAGTTTACCCCTCATTTCATGTAGGCTGATCCCCAGCAGGGTCAGTACACATCGTGTCCACGCTTTCACTCCTGCCCAGCACCTGAGGCCTCCTCCCCAACCCCAACTTCCTCTTTGGAATTTATGATCTGTCAATCAGCACATTGCTCCATATTCTCAACCCCTTCCTTAAAACATTCCCACACCTTCTGGCTCTAACACAGTGGTTCTCAAGAGGTAGTGGGAGGGGTGTGCTGATATTGTCTCCAGGGGGACATGTGGCAATATCTGGAACATTCTGGGGAACTGCTACTGGCATCTAATGGTAGAGGCCAGGAATGCTACTAAACACCCTACAATGCACTGGACAGCTCTGTACAGCAGAGAGTTATTCTGCCCCAAATGACCATAATGCTGAATCTGAGAACAGGCCATCCCCTAAAGACACTGCTTCCCCTATAACCTCCCCAGTGGCTGGGAGTTCTCTCAGAGTGCTGGTACCACAGAGACAGGAGGAGGGCCTGGTTGCTCCTTTCAGCCACTGTTCTCCTTCCTTCCCTACAACCAACCAATTTTGACTCTTATGTCATGACATATATCATCACTGCTCCTCTCTGTGTTTTCTGGACCCAGTTTAAAGTCCATGGTTAATTCTCACAATCCCTCTTCTGTCACTCCCTCCTACCTACTTGACAAAACCACCAACCTGGTTAAATCTAACTTCCTGTGTCTATATTCACCGACACAGCTGAATGTCTACCACCTTAAACCCTCTCCTGATCCTCTATCAAGAGGCCCCATGTCTCTACTCCCCTTTGCAGCAAATTCCTTGAAAAAAACATCTATGCTTGCTACTTCAAATTCTTCTCTTCTTCTCTCCAGTAAGCTTTCCACCAATCACGCTCCGTCTCTATTACTTCATGGAAACTGCTCTTACCACCATACAAATGGCCTCCCGGTTAAAGCCGTTAAAGCCAATGGTTAATTTCCAGTTATCTATCAGAGGCATCTGATAAGGTTGTTCACTTCCTCTACCTTTTCTCATCTGGCTTCCAGGATATGGCACCGCTGGTTTCCTCCTCCTTCCTTTTTGGCCAGCTTTGCTGATTGCCCACTTTCCTCCCTTACCTTTAAATATTGGGAATGGCAGAGCTCAGTCCTTTCTTTTGTCCATCTCTACCTATATTCACAGCCCTGGTGATCTCTTCCAATCTCATGGCTCTAAATGCTATTTATATACTGATAATTCCCAAATTTACAGGACTAGCTGATCTCTCTCTTTGAACAGTAGACCTGCATATCCAGTTGCTTTCTCACTTGGCTCTCCAACTGGATCAAAAAAAGACCTCCTAAACTTAGTATGTCTAACTCTAGCCCCTAAGCCGGCAGACACCTCCCCATCAGTTGATGGTAAATGCATCCTTCCAGTTATGAAGGCCACAAATGTTGAAATCATTTTTGATTCCTCTCATATCCTATATTCAATCAGTAAAAATAATCCTTATCCTTTAAAGTGTATTCAGAATCCAACCACCTTTCACCACCTCCAGTGCCACAGCTTGGTCCAAGCCATCCATCTCCAACTCTGGTTATCTAAGGGCCTTCTAACTGCTACCTTTGCTATATCCTAACTCCTATCCTTGCTTCCACACAGTCTACTCTGAACACAGCAGCCAAAGTCACTCTATTACAACTTAAGTTGGATTGTAGCACTCCCTTGCTTGAGAATCTTCCAATGGTTCCCCAAGTCATTCACAGCAAAAGTCAAAGTCTTTAAAGTGGCCCACAAATACCTTTGTGATCTGCCCAACTCTGCTACTTTCCTCCTGGGCTACTCCCTCACCTTCATCTATTCTGCTCTGGTCACACTTGATGTTCCTCAATCAAATCAGACCTGTTCCTGCCTTAGGGTCTGTCCACTCAAAGTTCCCTTTGCTGGACTGCTTTTTATCCCCCAGGGCTCACTTCCTCACCTCTTTCAATCTACGTTTGATAAGGCCTTTCTTAATAAGGCCTGCCCTGATCAGCCTATTTAAAATTGCAACTTCTTCTCCTACCAGCACTCCTAATCTCCTTTACCCTGTTGTTTTTGTTCTAGAACACATTTTGATAAAAGAATAAATCTTTAAACTTCTAAATTATAGCAAGCCTGTCACATGAGACTAAGTGCCTGGTGCTACATTCCCTATACTCAGATTAGGGTTCAGCCTTAAGAATGTTAACCTCCATTATATGTCAATCATATTTAAAAAAAAAAAAAAAGGAAAAATGAAAAAATCCTGTTAAAGCTTCTTACTTAAGACTCCATTCAAAATGCTGGCCAAAAGCTGTGGTAGGGATGGGCTTATTGTTCTTATTGAACATTTGTTTTCTACTGTCAATATCTTTGAATGAAAAACAGTAAGTAAATTAAAGGCCAAAATGAAATTGTAAAATTGCAGCTGTGACATACCTCAAACAAGATAATGCGGAATTCTATACGTAGAAGCCAAGTAAGAAATACTATACAACTGTTCCCTCCAAAATAAGTCTAGGAGCTCTGACAATTTTAATTACTTATTAAATAAAGGAGGAATAGATTGCCAATTAAATATTATTTTTCTATTTAACAAGTAATCAACAATTTTCATTAACTACAATGCAGTTTTTTTTTCCTTCTCAAAAGCTAAAATGAGTTAATTAATTTGAGTTTTTCAAGTTGTGATTTACAATACAGCTATTTAGTAATAGTTTTAAAATTTTTTGGTTTTTTTGGGGGGGGGGGGGAAAATATTTTAAAAAAAAAAAAAAAACAATTTACCTAACACACTGTCAAGAAATATTCTCCAGCACTTACAGATTGCTCTAGGTCCTTGCCTCGCAACCTTCCCTGACACCTTTTAAAATTCAACTACTTACCTTGTCATAAATCACTTTTATAATAAGAGAGCAGCTAGGACAGGTTGCCACGTCTTCCCCATTCTCCAAGTCTTCCTATAACAAAATAAAAAACCGTTTGGTATTGTCTTCTCTTTGCGATTTCCTCCTTCCAAACTCCTTCCACCCCTAGGGGCAAGCTCCTTTGTGGCTACCTCCCTAAAAGGCCTGTGAGGGACAAAAAGGCCTGCCCAGAGAAATACCAACTCCATTCTTCCGGCCAAGCGGTACTTAAAAATACCCAGGAAGAGGGGCTCCTTGGTGGCTCAGTCGGTTAAGCAACCAACTCTTAATTTCAGCTCGGGTCATGATCTGGGGGTCCTGAGGTCGAGCCCCACCCCAGCTCCGTGCTGGGCCTGGAGCCCGCTTAAGAGTCTCTCTCTCCTACCTCTGTTCCTATGCCGTAAACCCACCCCAACCCCGCCTCTACTCCCTCTCTCAAAAAAAGACCAGACCTGACCCAGGAAGGTTAGCCAAGGTTCGTCGCCTCAAACCCCTGAGATGACAACAACGTAACCCTGCCTCCAAATAACTATCCCAGCAACTGGGACCCTAAATGGGGAAGGAGGGCAAGACTTATGCTCCCGCCATCCAGCCTTTCCCACCCCCACTCTCCACCCCTCGGCCAGACTAAAGGCCAGGACGATGTGCCCACTGACAGATCAAAGTATCAACTTTCCGGGGACTCAGAGACAGGATAAAGAGGGCGTGTGAGCCTCAAGGTGACAGAACGGCGGAAGGAACGAGGAAGAGCAAACGCGCCTGCTCCGACGAACCGCCGGGCGGGACTCTGAAGTTACCTTGGTAATGCAGAAGTTATCCCCACACGGGCAGGGGTAGAAGTATGCCTCCGAGTCTTCGTCATATTGGAAGTCCTCGATCTCTACTTCGTCGTGAAACACGGACATTGTCCCAGGGGCAAGCAGAGGTCCGTAGCCCCCGCCAGCCAACACTTGCCCGAGAAGGTCTAACTCCGCCGGCGCTGGTCCCAGCCGGGTGTTGTCAGCCGGCGCCGGCTCAGGAGCGATCGCTTCCGGCGCATAGACAATGACGCAACTCCGGCCTCGGAGGCCAAATGGGTGACCGGGTGGCGGTCCCCATGGAGATGGCGGAGCTAGGAGGCGGAGACACTGGATGTGGCGGCTCGCGGCGTGGTACTGTGCGCTCCGCGCCGGCGGTCCGCGTTACTGACCAATAAAATGTGAGAATAGCTCGCGCCGCTGTGACGTCACGTCACCGGAAGTTCCCGGAGAGGGTGGCAGAGTTCGGCAGGTAGGCTTGCCTGGTTCCCGCGGCGCGAGCTGTGCGGAGGTCCCTTTCTGCGGCCGCCGTCTTCAAGGCCGCGGAGCTTAGAGAGGCCTTATGTTGGGTCCGCGGAATCGGTGGCATCAACCCGGCCCTTGACGTCCTGGGGGAGTCGCTCTTTTGCTGGGTCTCAGGCGACGGCCGGAGCACCTCTGCCTCTCGGACCTCCCTTCCTGCGTCCCCGGTGACGGACGAAAAGTTCTCTTGGAATTTTGATTCACCGAGTGACCTTGAGCTCAGGGCGACGCCTGCCTTGTAGTTTGTGGCTGCACTCGCCTACTCAGGTACACCCCCAGCTCTTCCTCACCCAGGGTTATCTTCAAATACCCTAACCTGTGTTGTCGAGAGGACCAAGAGAGTGAAGGCAGATTGCGTTCTAGTCCTGTGTTTGCCAAGCATATCATTATGACAGTGATTTGTAAAATAGTAATAACATCCCCTTTTATTATGAGGAGTTTGCTGTGTACCAGGTTATTGCTCTGGGTACGATTCTTAACATCAACCCCGGGAGTTTAGATGTTATTCCATATTATTAACCTCCAAACTGAGATACAGAGAGTTGGGGATCTTGAGAAAAATCACTCATTTTGGAAATGAAGGTCCTGTCTGTCCCCGAAGCCTGGAGACAAATTACTTAATTTATTTGAACCACGGTTTCTTCTTTGTAAAAGGAATGTCACCAGCAGATACTACCATGAGGCCTCTATACATTAAAAGGGAATGCAAATAAAAGGTGGTTTGTCTTGAAAGCAATGGTATTGCCTGTTTTAATACAACCACATTCCGTGGGGATATTGCTCCATCACCACACAGTTATTCAAATTTCGGTAGAGAAGGAATGCAGTGCAGTGGAAAAGATACTTTGAGAAATAGGTCTGGGATCAGACTCTTGACTGTTGGGAGCTGCCTCTGGGAGCTAGATATTTACATTCTTTTGGGCCTTATTTTGTCTATTGACTAAAAAAGGTTTGGATTAGAGATGATATGCAAGATCACATACAGATCTAACATTCTACTTTTGCATGGAAATTACGAGATTTACTGGTTTATATATACCATGTTCCTTTATATTTACGTGGTATGTTTCATGTAATACTTACATGTATACACATTCCTCTTCTTATTTATATACACATACTCAGGTTTGCATGAAGCTACCAATTTTGTGCATACTGAGTTGAAGCTGCACCTGGTTTGAGGCTTGAAAACCTGAAGGCAGAGGAGTCTTTGGGAGAAAATCAAGAAGTTACATTTAAGAAGTTTCTGGAAGGTTATCCCAAAGGCCTCACATTTTGGATAATTGAAGATCTACCTGGTAGTTAGGAAACACTTGTGAAACTTGTTGAGGCTTAACTGGGGTGATTCTGGTGTGACTGGGCAGAGGAGAAATCCCAGCAAAGCCCACCCAGCTCTGTGGCTGCTCCCTGTATCTCTATAGGCACAGATACTTTCCAGGTACTCCCTTGGAGACCGGAAGACAAGGGAGAGTTTTCCAGGGTCTGTTCTGTAGTCCCAGTGATCATTTTGAGGTTGGGAATCATCTTTAGTTCTTCAGTGCCTCTCAGCATAAGTATGTACAAATTAAAGATGAGCCATTTTTGAATGTACAGAAATGATTGCATTCATATTTGGTGCTTGGAAGTATGAATTGATAGACCTCTTTGAAAGCAGTTTGGACTTAGCAAAAACGATATGCTGGGGAATTTTAAAATTTGTGGTTAATAGCCTTGGAAGTTACAGGCGTTGTTGGGTAAATTTTTTTTTTATAATTTCCTTGTAACTTCCCAACTTTTTTGGAGTGCGTATTACCTAAAATGGGAAAAGAAAAACTAATGGACCACTTCTCAGTAATAATGGACTCTATGTGTGAGGCACTGTATCAAATGTTTTATATACATGATGTCATTAAACAGCCAGTGAGGTGTGTAGGTATCATTAATCCCATCATCAACATTGGGAAACCAGGGGCTGAAGGCAAAGCTGGTAAGTGGCAGTAAATTGTTGTGAGAACTCAGATCTGTCAGATGCTACAACTTAGGTTCTTAATTAACTTTGCTGTCATCTGTGATATGATGGCATTGAAGCATTCATACCAGCCCTGAAGCTCTGCAGACTGCTGAGATTGTCTGGCTAGAGCAGTGCTGGTGCCCTTGAAACCTAGATTTGGGAGTCTACTTGGCTTTCCATACTGCTTTCATCCTGCTGTCTTTTGGCCATAGGCCTTGTCTGCCAGAGGGGATTCCCTGTATGGTGCTGCCCAGTTTGAGTTCATGTTGTCCTGAAGAAAGTAAAACCTATAACCAAACATGTAATGCAGTTTTTTTGTTTGTTTGTTTGTTTGTTTTACTCCACCTAACATTTTTAAATAAAACATCACAATGACTACTAAACTTTACTTTGATTCCTAGAAGGGAGTGGAAATGTTTTGTAATGAGCCATTTTTGGACTGTGAGGGTAGGACCAAAGTAGATTTACTAGTTGCTATAGGATCATTTGCAATCACAAACTTAAAATTCACAAAGAAGTCAAGTCTGTTGAAATGTACCATGAGGCTTTGAGTGTGGCTCTTCCTGAGACAGCGTGGGCTTCCGTGTCAAAAACATATCTGTCGAAGATGTTCGGCGTGGCTGTGGGGCTGGTGACAGCAAAAATGACCCACCCATGGAAGCAGCTGGCTTCATGGCTCAGGTGATTATCCTGAACTATCCAGACCAAATCTGTGCTGGATTGTCACACAGCTCACATTGATTGTAAGCTTGCTGAGCTGAAGGAGAAGATAGATTGTCGTTCTGGAAAAAAGGCGAAGATGGTCCCAAGTTCTTGAAATCTGGTGATGCTGCCATCGTTGATTTGGTTCCTGGCAAGCCTATGTGTGTTGAAAGCTTCTCTGACTCATCCTCTGGGCTGTTTTGCTGTTCATGACACGAGACAGACAGTTGCTGTGGGTGTCATCAAAGCAGTGGACAAGAAGTCAGCTGGAGCTGGCAAGGTCACCAAGTCTGCCCAGAAAGCTCAGAAGGCTAAATGAATATGATCCCCCATTCCTGCCACCCCAGTCTTACTCAGTGGTGGAAGAATGGCCTCAGAACTATTTGTATCTATTGCCCATTTACGTTTAGTAGTAAATGGGTAATGATAGTGATGCATCCTAAAACCTCCAGAAGGAAAGAAGAGTGTTTTGCGGACCATTTGTGTTTTTTTGTGCATATGGCAGTTTTAAGTTATTAGTTTTTAAAATCAGTACTTTTTAATGGAAACAACCAAAAATCTGTCACAGAATTTTGAGACCCATTAAAAGCTTAATGGGAAAAAAAAATTCTTTTTCAATCATAAAATGTTAACACTGCTGCTGTGGAAAATGACCAAAATTCTCAGCATGTGATCGAACCTAGAACTTAGTTCATAATTCTGAATAGAAACTGTGTTTTGTGAATGCGGTTGTGTATCAGGCTGAGGGGAGTTGTTCTTGGTGGTATCCCACCGTCTCTAGGTGGAGTTCGGCAGGGAGCAGAGGGTAGGGGTTAATGGGATTGACCTGATTCTTACTAACACTCTTGCTTGCCAGGCACTTGCCAGGACATTTGTTCCTCTCAGCAATCCAGTGAATTGGTATTGGCATTCCAATTAAAAAATTTTAAGAGGTGATTGGCTCAAGATGAAAAAATAGGAAGGAATCAGATCTGAGCTTTGTTTCACCCATTTCAGGTCAAGCACTCTGTAACTTTGGTACTGCTAGGGTTCCCTTACCAAAAGCTAGATGCTGGGAGCCCCTTTGCTTCCTCAGTGACACTTAGGGTTCTGAATCAACAGGTGCCATGATAGTTCTGTGAATTTACTTTATTTCAGTGTATAAATGCTCTACGAGGCATTCTTGGGTTCTCTCTCTCTACCTTTCTTTTTTTAACTATTCTCACACCTTACCCAATCTGTTACCAAGTGCAGGGCTCTGATTCCAAAATACGCTCCCTGTTCATCTACTTCTGCCATCTCATAACTTTATCCTGCTTTCCTTTGGACGGGAACCTTTAACCGGAGACTCCTCCCTCTATGATCCATTCTTCACACAGTAGCTTGAGTGCTCTTTTGATGTAAATGTAAATTAGGTTGTTCTGTCAGATGTAAATTGGATCCTTTAATGTAAACCTTTCCAGGCTTACTCAGACCCTTCAGTTGCTTCCCGTTGCTCTTAGAGTAAATATTCTGTCCATGGTCTGATGTGATCTAGCACATGTCTGTCCGCTGGACTTAACCTCTTGTCACTGTCACCTAGCTCCCCGCTCGCCAGTCATACTGGTTGTGATTCCTGTAACATAGTAGGCTTGTTTCTGTGATTGAGCCTCTTTGCCTGCTGGCTCTGTCCTTACTGTCAGAATGGTTGCGTCTTCCTCATCCTTCAGGTCTCAGCTCAGATGTCTCTTGAGAGTGCGCTTTCCTGATATTCCTCCACTCATTTCCTTTATCATGCTTATTGTAATCTATATTTGTCTCATTAATTATCTGTTTACTATCATTGGCTGGACACACTGTACTTAAAGCTTCATGACGACATGGGCTTTGTGTCTGGTTCTTTAGTGTGTTTCCACACCCAAAATAGTGCCTGGCACCCCAGCAATTCTTAAATAAAATGAGTGTACTTATCGAACAGAAACCAGTATAGTTCATTTTAAATCTTAATCTGTTGCC